CCCTGGTTAGCAGGTAACCAGGGACGCTGATCTCTCTGCAAGTGGCCGGAGCCAGCCATAAGATCACGGCTGGCTCTGCCCAGCTGTCAAAAGCAGGCTGTCGGCCGGCCAATGGCCGGCCGCTCGGCCAGCTTCAGGTTTCAGCACGGCTCAGCCGAGCCGATGCATATGCGTTCGGCTCGACTGAGCCGCTCGGCCATGATCGGGAGCTGTACGGGCTATTGTGAATAGCCCGTACAGCACCCCTTCGGTTCTACTGAACCGAAGGGGTCCTGAGGCCGAAGCTAGCTGAAGGATCTGCCATAACTACGGCCAGATCCTTCGGCAGCTTCGTGAATAGACCCCATAGAGTTGGCTTTCACATTCATGCATGCGGAACCATTCACTCATGTCAGACCAGTTTTAGCTATGGATACAGGTGCTTCCCCCTCCATTCAGAAATATGAATGGCATTCATTGTTGTATACACTCCACTTGTAAGTGCCTAAAGAACGCTGTACTTTTTGGACAGAGTAAGGTCTTCTGATGAAGCACAGCTTGTTTTCCGGTGGGTTCAGTTGCATTTAACATAATTTTTAGACACTTCTAAGCTGTATCAAACTGCTTTATGTTGCTTTTGTACTTCCCTTGACTTGTATGGGGAGAGAAGCTTTTCTGATGCATACCCTTATAAATGAAATGTCTCTCTGGGTCTGCCCTTTAAGTATACAACATTAAGCAAAATAAGTTTTTCTTCTTAGCAACAATTATCAATGACATCTGTCAAAGTGTACTATACCCATTATAACAATGTCATCTATTTATGATGGCCATAATACAATATTGACTTATTACAACAAAGGAGAAAAAGAGACCCAGGAAAAACCGGTGTAGCCAACAGGGGAAACCTAAAGCTCCACCTATTGGCTCAAAAGTAGAATACTATTTATTATGCAGTTTTTCACATCTACATGATTAAAAAACAAAACATGTTTTTAAAATTTTATTTTTTTCAGTTACCAATAGCTCAACCAAAAGTTTATACATTTAAAAAATAGCTATAAAATTGACTCGAGCCATTATAGTTTCCCTTTAATAAAACAGAAGAAGAGGTTGGAAAAAATATTGTGACAAGCATTCAAATATGTAAATACATTCCTTTCTAGTGCAAATTTCCTACAGGGGAATTATACACTTTTTGAACAACGTTATATGGTATTTACAGAATGGATCCACTTCATCTGTTTTGCAAAAATTATTTTTTAACCACCTCCGGGCCGGCCGTACTAAAAAAAACGGCCGGCCCGGAGCTCTCTAGATCTGAGCGGGCGTCCGCTCAGATCTAGACGTCCGCTCAGACACGTCCCCTCGCGCGTGGGAAATGACCGCAATTTAAAAGCAGGCAGCGGTGCCTGTTAACATACAAGCTATCCGCCAGCTATAGAGCCGGCGGATCGCTTGTATGGTAGTTTTCTGCGATGTCGCAGGTGCGCGCAATTTTAAAGCTTGACATGTTTGGTGTCTATTTAACCGACGTGACCCCGACTTTATTATTTTACCAAAAAACTTGGTAATAATAAGTGTTTCCTAACATAATGTAAAAAAAAAAATATTTTTTCACAATTTTCAGTAATTTTTCCTAATTATAGTAAAAAATAAAACCCGTAGTGGTGATTAAATACCACCAAAATAAAGCTCTATCTGTCCCCAAAAAATGGTATAAAATTCATTTCAGTACAGCGTTGCATGACGGAATAAACGTCAGTCCAAGTATCGCAGCACTGAATACTGAAAAATGGCCTGGCCAGGAAGGGGGTCTAAACACCTGGTCTTGAAGTGGTTAAACTAGTGTTTCAAACATATTTAAATACAGTTTGCAAGGGAACTGTTCTGTTAAACATGCATATTCATATAGCTGCTCCCTGTTGAAAATATTTGGACCTTGATTCCTTTAAAGAAAACAGCAGGAGGACTCATATGCAGTCTGAAATATCAATTATTAATAATTTTCTCTACTGCCCCTTGCTGCGACTTAAAGCAGAATGAACAAGCATATTATCAAGGGCAGGCAGAGACATCAGGAAGCTCATTACCAGGATTGGACTGGGTGGATAAATACAGCCCTGATACATAATGCACCCCAGCCCACATTACCAAAGTGAATAAAATTATATCTCTCTACTGCACTGATGCTTCTCTGCATGTACTGCTTCTCTTCTCAGAATTATTTTAACTGGACTGTGATAAACTTCATACATTATAACAGGCAAATGTTAAGGTGATTCCAGCAGCTTCATTCCTTTGATCCTTTGTGTATGGCTTGTATGACATTTTACAATATGTTACAAGAACAGGTGTTCTTGGGGGATGAGCAGTTCCATCTAAGGCTGCTTTAGACCATAAATTCTATCAGACCCACATTTCCTTCTTGTAAATACCAGTGTTGCCAGAATTCAAGGTCAGTCTAGGTATTCTACATTGGACATTAGTTTATTGTGGGATAAATAGTGGACAAGCAGAGGTAGTCATTGAGACAAATATACAGATGTGGAGGCTGGCCCTGCACAGATGTGCATGCTATCCAAATGGTAATTACAGACATCTATCAGATGCTGAAAGTGCCCTCATGTCTGCAGATCTTTTACGTTCCTACAGAAATGGCAAAGGACAGATAAAGGGAAAACATAAGACTCAGCCTGCTCTCCACTGACAAATAAAGAAAATAGCCAGATCAAACTTAGCATATGGAAAAGAAGGTGGCCTAAATCACAACGATTCCTCATTACTCCAACACCTATGTCTTATTTAGCAGATGTTTTGACAAGTAAAGGAGTAGCTGCAGCAATCAACATTTCAAAGTGATGTTGAAAGGATGGGTAAATATTTTACCCCAGTGAAAGCAAACAGGCAGTTTACAAATTTCCATGTAGAATGCCTGTACTGAAACACATTAACAGCTTTTATAGTGGAATGTATCAAAAAGAATACATTTTTTGATACATTTCCCCCCCCCCCGAAAAGAAAGTTACATCAGAATCCATCTCTAGAAACTTAAATCTGAATGCAATAGCATCTCAAATATTTATGAAGAGCAGTTAAAAGGATTCATATACTAAATGCACCGCCTATTTTGTTCAAGTGAACCTGTGCTTGCTTCAAACCTGCTTGCTGCCAATTTCCCTAAACTAAACAAACAAAAAAAACCTTACCTGTCCTGGCACCCTAAATTGTCTATACATATTTTAACTGCTGCTCCTCAACCGCTCAGACCTTTGCACCACCCGTGCAAAGTCATTGGCAGTTGTCAATGATTGCAGAGCAAATTGTGCCCACCATGATCGAAGTGACTGTGCTGATGCCTGGTGATTGGTTGCCCAAAGGCTGCATTGCAGGGAGGCAGGAGATGTGTAATGGTCCTCTTACCCAGAAGTAGCACGCATTAGAGGGTGGTGGGGAAAATAAGAGTGGCAGGGGTGGAGGCTGCAGTAAGGGCAAGCATATGCACTAAGGAGTGCCTAAGACGGTGTCTTTTTCTGATGGGTTTTCTTTAAAGGTAAATAAAAAAAATACAGGCTGGTAGTATATAAATCATTTTATGGTTAGCCATTATAAGTGCAGGAAGATCATTTTATTTTTTATAATGGAAATGCTTTTGGTTCTAGTGGTGTAGCCAAAAGTATTACACAAGTCACTGACTTTTTACTCTGCTTGTCTCACATAATCTTCATCATCACTCTTACAGCCTCGGAAAATTGTTGTTATTATGTTTTAGGAGCGGGGGGAGGGCTCTTCAGCTGCCTTTTAGCTATGAAACAGACAATTCCATCCATGCATGCCACTATTGTATGGACTAAAAAGCATCATCTACTAGAAAGTGATAATTAGAGCCACATGATCTAATGAGGATCCTGCTCACTATCACACTGAGTTTTGCTTCTAATAAATTGATAATCCTGGCTTGGCAGCAGCAAGTGATGTTTACACATTGTCAGTGGTACTACAAAGCTGTAAGACACATAAAAGGCATTAAAAGCAATAGATATTTTAAAACCAAGACCCTGGAAATAACAGCAAGTGTTTACATGTGTGGAGAGTGACAATGGGACTTTAGCTGCTTAACAGGTAAGTAACCACTGACACCAGAGGCACATTTCTGTTGACCATCACTGACAAGGGCACTTCTCCACTGACCACCACTGACACCAGGGGTACCGCAGTAACCTCCAGTGACACCAGAACACCTTTCCACTGGCCACCACTGATACCTGAACAGTTTTTCACTGACCACAATTGACAACAGAACATTTCTCCACTGACCCCCACTGGCATCAGACACTTGTCCACTGACCACCGCTGACACCAAGGGCATTTCTCCACTAATCTTTACTGACACTAAGACACTTCTACACTGTCCACCACTGACACCAAGAGCATTTCTCCACTCATCACTACTAATATATATCAGAGGCACCGACCACTATAAAAAAAGACACACTTCTCAATTGACCATCATTGTAAAGGCATACATCTCCACTGGCTCCACTGTAACAATATACTTTTCCATTGGCTTGAAATGTAATGGCGCTTTTCACCCCTAACTACCACTGTGACAGTGCACATTTTGTAATGATAGCCACTATACAGCGCACCTATCCTCTGACATTTCCAAAGCCTTAATATAAACATTGCATTTAGGTTTTATAAAACAGTACCTATGTTACATAACTAATGCTGCTTATAAAAATCACTAATTCCATATAAGTCATTCAAGGAACGGCCACATGTCGCTGGTCTATATGAAAAAAAAATATTTTCTGTTGACCATCACTGACAAGAGCATTTCTCCACTCATCACCACTGACACCAGGGGTACCCACTGACACCAGGGGTACCCCATTCCTCCTTTATCCCTAACATGTTCCTCAAGCATGCCTAATATGTTCATAATTTCAAGATTTCCTTTATGGTGCACTAGTCTGTATCTGGATCAGTATTTACAACAGCTGTTCTCAATATGGCAAATCCTCAAACCATGACCTGATGGTATGCTTGAGGTGTTGAAAAATATAACTCAGATGAAATAATAAATGGTGTAATTCACAAGTTCACAAGGCTGTAGGCCAATTCATTTTATAATAATCGCAGAGGTGATAAGCTAATGCAAATTTAAAGAAAGTCGTTATTTGCTTATTTAGCTCAGGTGTGCAGCAGTTTTGGGGAATACATTTACATATTTTGGCCACAGGTTCACTTAAAATGTTAAAATGTAAATTTTAAATGTTTATGGTACAATGCATAAGATATCAGCATACATCAGCAAGCACTGAAAACTGTCTGCATATATTGTCACCTTGCTTGTGAAGGAGCCCTGAGGCCCAGAAAGCTTGAATTTGCAAATAGCAACTTCAGTTCCTGAAGCTGCAGTTGGCCCCACCCCATTCATCTATTCATATCAATTAATTTTACTATCAATATTTAATTACATCACATAATGTATAAACACATAGGGGCCAATTTATTTAAAAAAATTTGATATTTGATATTTACAAAACATTCACTGCACTTGAATAAATCACTGAAATGTAAAGCACATGCATAATGAGATATGCCTGTAATGAATGTTTGCTAAATGTCACATTCACTGCTTTAAAAATATACACCTTTAACAGTGTACATAAAACCACATATACGAATTATGCACATTAAGTTACTGTTAATTTAAGTAACAAGTTACTTAAATTAATTCACACTTAAAATATTTATAAAATAACAATTCATTGCGAATATATTATTAGTAGTATTTTAATTAGACATTACATGCATGTAGCAGTTATACACAGCCAATCACAGACACCTTACATACATGAATATGTAGCTACTACAAAATGTTTTCTAAATGCATCTAAATTGCAACAATGCATAATAACCATTCTGTGTTTGTACTATTCAAACAACAGTAATATTTTTTCTGGTCAATAGCGTAGTAAATAACCAGGCACAGAGTGTAAAAAGTCTCTATCAGAGATATTTTTTTAATGTAAAACAATTATATATTTTATTGCTTCATTTTCTGATCTGGATCAGACTACTTTTAGAAGCAAAGACTTTAGAAGACATTTCTTGGCTTTTATTCTGCTTTCATACTCAGCATTAGATGTCTAGGTTCCAGGATGCACATTAGATGACTGTTTTTCAAACTTTTTATATCACTTACACTTCTTTTTTTTTCATATTAAATGTTTATTAAAGATTTTCAAAATATAACAAAAAACACACATACAATACAGTAATGGTATGTGTAAAGCTCTATGCCTTGTGCTGTGGCGCTATGTCTAATGCTCTGTGCATAGTGCTGTGGCTGTATACATAATGTCCTTGTGAGGATGTAGCAGGTGCAGGAGCTCAGAGCACACACATCCTCACTCACTCATGGGTTAGCCACACCCCCCTCCTCATCACTTACACTTCTATTACAATATATATTTACCTAGTGTCCCTGATGAATCTTTAGGCCCACTACCCCGTAAAGTGACACTGTTGTGAAAATAAGAAAAATAACAAAAGTGTCCCTGCAAATGAGGTGTTTAATACTCACTACTCCTGCACATTATCGATCTCTGCTTCATTGGAGAGAAGGAGCGGAAAGACACTTCTGGCAGTGTTGTATTCCTGGTTTCCCTCCATGCACTGTGTATCTTTTCCCCAGGGAGGATCTATACCACCTATATGTGGCTGGGTACCAGGAACCCAGTATTCCCGGAGGTGCTGGATTCAGAAGATTCTTCTAGTGCTGCTTTCTCTACAATACAGTGGACATTTATGGCCTGGGCAGTAGGAGAGGTGACCATTAAATATCTGGAATGGAATGGAAGAACATTTCCATCTGACCATATCCTCAAAAACATAAAGGTGAGTATCCTAGCCCACAGTGAGGAACTCTTAACAGGCACCATATACCATCTTGAAAGGACCCTGTAATTTGTTTCAACAGCTAAAACATTACATGAACTGGTTATGATTGTAGACCAGATGTGCTGCCAATCTCCCTCATCTAAGTCTGTTTCCCACTGGTGGATATACATAGGGGGCTGCCTCACTGTGGCATCAGAGAGAAGGGTATAGAGCCAGGAAATAAGTCTCGGCGAATGAGGATCGGAATGACATATATGCTCAAATAGGGTCAAAAGCAAGGCTGTCCAGGGGTTTCACTGCTTCACTGCCACCAGGAAATGTTAACTTGGAGATACCAAAATGTCGTGCCTACACCTTCTAAACATGTCAGGGTTTACATATACTTAAAAAAAAAAAGTGTCCTTTAAGTAAAGTCACTCTACTCCCCTCAGTAAAAGCTGAATGAAGGAAAAAAATAATTTTCATTCCTGCTTCCGTGATCTTCACTTTGCCTGGCTGGTGCCACAGAGTCTTTGCAAGCAATAAGTACCAGCTGGCTCCTCTTTCTAGAGGGCACACGTGCCATAGCCACATAGTCCTATAGGATTTTTATGGTTCTTAATCCTCTGGTCTGCATTCATTGCAGCCTCCAGCCTTCCAGTAAAGTATAGATTATCTACAGGAATAAATAGGGTTGACTGGTATCTATGATCAATTTATGTACCGTAGTTTATAGCTGTAAAGAAAACTTGTTAATGTGTGAGACAGTACACAGGATTCTTTAGTCAGTAGGATGCTCTCCAGAGCTCTGGTGCCATGATGATGATTATCAGTGATGTAATTATGAGACCCTGCTGTGCAATCAGAGGCACCAACAGACCTCAAACATGACAGTGTCTGAAAGAAGAACAGTTTCTGTTTAATAGAGTCTTTCATGCACTTATCCTGCATTGGGAAAATAAAAGGAAATTTCTATTTCAGTATTTTGTTATATACAAGTTATATGTTTTAATCAGTAGAATTTATTATTTGAGCATCCCAACTTATTTTCCATTAGGCATTTCCCATTCTCTCATAGCATGAGTTAGAGGCCCTGCTTGGAAATTTCTACTGTCAATATCTATTGAAACAATTCAGACTCAGGAGATGTTCTTGCACTCGGTGTGATGGATTCCTTTGTAGTAACAAAGGAGCACTCTGCTTCTGAAAATTGTAATACATCTAGCTGAAATCAGAACATTAGAGGATTTGTCAGTGCAGATTGGAGCTTGTCAAGTCAACTTCTGGGCATTGAGCTCAGAGCGCTGGGATCATTTTCTAGAAGACTTAGAACAAATATCTTTGCTAGTGTGGGCCCCCAATGTATATTATACCAGCTATGTATCATTATAAGATCATTTCAACTGTACATATACCGAGGCAACATAATTCTGCCAAATAATAAGAGCATTGTCGGTAGCACATTTATTTTTCTTTGCAAATTGCCTATGAATAAGTCAAGTTGATATAAATTAAATTAGCAATAGTGACAGTGTGATTGTAACTGTGAAGTTATCAGCCAGAAATCCATAGCAGATCTGTAGTTAATTTACAGTATTATCATAAAACTCCTTTAGGCTTCAAATGAACATAATCTATTTAATGTGAGGCTTTAAGTAAACAGCTCAATCCATACGTAAAATACATACAGTATATGTCTTTTTAATTATGCTCAGATAATTTTGTGATTCACACACATTTTCCACAATGTACAGTCAGGCAATTCATCTTCTCGGTTTAGCAGTGCAGCTTTCTGAGTCATTGAGTCAATTTCTGAGAAAAAGTTATGGGAAATACAAAATCTTAAGTTTGTTACTAGAATACCAAGTGCAGGGAAGTCTTCCAATAGGGACACCATTTTCAATGGCATGTTTTATAGGGGATTTTCTCTCACTTTGGAGAGATTTACTTTTAAATCCTGTCTTGTTTCTGGTACGTGAAGTGAGGGGAAATCTTCCCAGTGGGCCACCACACATTAAAACAAAAAAGGCTAACAGGGACTCTGGCTGTTTCTTACTCTATTCAAAACTAAAAATAAGGGTTAACTGGAGAGACACTTCAAAGTGATTACATTTGATGGCTAGCTGGTATACTTAATGGCAAGATCATTTACCTAATTGAGAGATTTACCATTAAATGATCAGCCATTTTAAACATTGATAACTGAAAGGCTTGCAGGGCCGGATTTACTCTCCCTGCCGCCCCCTGCTGCCTGGTTTTTGCAATGCACCGCCCTCCCCGCCAACCCGCCCCCCATCAACGGAGAATGGCAACCAGATGGCATGGGCGGCAGGGTTAGTTTTATTTTTTTTGTTTTTTCTTTATTTCTTTTTTAAACTTTTTTATCACTTTTTTATTTTTATTTATTTTTGTACTTTTTTTTTATTTTTTAGCTTAACGTTTACTTTTTTATTTTTAATATTTTTTTAATCTTATTAT